ACCAGCATCATATAACCGTTTAATCTCAGCCTTGACAGGTTCAAGCATATCGGCTTTGCATCTTCTCGGAGGTTGCTGGTGTGGCCTAACCCCTGGTTTGATAGGTAGCCGATGTTCAACAATCGATTGGCTGAGTCCAGGCATCTCATAATATTCCCAAGCGAAGCAATCTCTGAATTCTTTCAACAGCTCTATCAACTTGGTTCTAAATTCCGAAGATAAATTCTTACTAATAAATGTTGGCCTTGGTCGATCACCTGGACCTATGTCAATTTCTTCCAAATCATCGGCCGACATGAAACCATGTCCTTGCTTGTCATCGAGATCATCTACTGTGTCCTTGGTGTAGACATTTGAACCCTTCACGACGCCCTCAAAATAATTGCTTGGGTTCTCCATCTTCAATTGGTTGTATATCAGAATCGGACACTTTTAGAAAATCTCCATCCCAAACTTTTCCAGATAAACAGTCAAGACCATCCATCTCCCAAAGAGCTAAATTGGCACTGGCAACATTGACTGACCTGTCGGCTGGCACAATTTCAATCTTGTCGCCTTGCCACTGAATCAAGCATTGATGCATGGTTGAAGGAATACAACAATTGGCATGGATCCAATCCCTTCCAAGCAACAAGCTGTAGGAACCCTTCCCATCGATGACAAAGAACGTTGTAGGGATAGTTTTGTTGCCGACTGTCAGTTCCACGTTCAAAACTCCTTTGGTTTCTGATGGATTACCACCAAAGTCCTTGAGCACCATGTTTGTCTTGATGAGATCTTTAGTGTTTCTGCCCAATTTCTTAAATGTAGCATAAGGCATCAAATTCACCGCAGCCCCAACATCGACCATCATCTTGGACATCGGCTTCCCATTGACATAGTCATTTATATACAATGGTTTAAGATGCCGATTCTCTGTACCCTCTGACTTCTCAAAGATCGCTTGTTCTGGTGACAAAATTAATTTAGCTGATTCTTCTTCAACTTTGTCGACATCGGCTTGCTTGACCCCAAATTCAGCAGGCAACGTGAAGACCATATTAACCGATGCAGTCACAACGCTTTTTCCTTTGGCCAATCTCTTTGCTTCATCGGCCGTGGCTTCATCGGCTGCAGGAACTTGATTCTTAACACGCCACTCCTGCCTCGGCTTTGTTTTCTTTAGCCGATGACTGATTTCCTGTTCGACCTCCTGAAAACGTTCCCGGTTCCTCAATCTCTGAACCCTTCTCTTCTGAAATACCAGAAGGACACCATTGAGTTTTCCTGTCTTCATTATCCTCTTGGTTACATTCTTGGTTCACTGGGCCCAATCTTTGATGAACATGAACTCTTGTCTGCCTTAGCCGATTGCCTCTATTATACGATCGGCTTGAACTTTCTGCAACATTACCGCACCCAGGACAGTCTTCAATAGACGGCAGCCTCATACCCTCATTCCAACAAAATCTAAAGAAATCACAACCCCAATGAGGATCAAAGCCATCATCATCTTCTTCATTATGCTTCTCCTGCTGCCTGTCATATTTCTTCTGATATTTATTGATAATCTTAGCCAAATTCACCTGAAAACCTCTTGCACACCCTCCATCGGCTGTTCGACCAGTTGTATGCACTATATTGATAGGAAAAAGATTACCATCAACCTTCATCGGCCTCTTAGAATCATCAAACTTGATTTTGCCTCCCTCAATAGCTGCTTGGATCTGTTGCCTGAAGACTTTGCAATCATTAGTAGTATGAGACCCAGAATTATGCCACTTGCAATACCTCTTCTTGCCCAATTCTTCAGCCGATAGGATCATGTGACCAGCAGGAAGTTGAATCTGTTTCTCCCGAAGTAGCAAATCAAAAATCTTATCAGCCTTAGTAATATCAAAGTCATACCTCTCCTCCTTTCCAGAACTCTTTACCCATTGGCATGGTATAACTTTCTTGCTTCTAACCCATTCGGCTGCTGCTATTTCGGAGTCATCTTCATCTTCATCATCCGATCCATATATGTAAGGACAAACATGATTAACCTTTCTAGAGTTCTTCCTAGCCTCTGCAAACCTCTGTTCATGCAAGGTTACCTTCTTTGTAAGATGCAACAAGCTATCAAAGTCTTCATTTGAGAATTTCTCCCTAATCGGAGCAATCATACCCTGAAAAACCAAATCGGCTAACTGGGCATCAGTTAAACTCAAGCTGTAGCACTTATTCCTCATATCTCTGAATATCTGAATATACTCATGCACGGGCTCATCATGCCTTTGCTTGATTGCTGTTAAATCGGACAGTTTCATTTCATGCACCCCACTGTAGAAATAGCTGTGAAAATGCTTCTCCAAATCGGCCCAACTGTTAATTGATCCATATGGTAAAGAAGAAAACCAAGTAAAGGCCGATCCAGACAAAGACAATCGGAACAACCTAACCCTTAAGGCATCCAGAATCGATGCTTCACCGCACTGGGCCAAAAATCGGCTGATGTGTTCATAAGTCGATGTACTATCCTGCCCTGAGAATTTTGAAAAGTCTGGAACCTTAAACCGATTAGGTAAAGGAACTCTCTCAAACCATTCGGGATAAGGCTGTCGGTACAAATTTCCAGCGTCTTTCAGCCTAAGCCCAAACTACTCCTTCATTACATCCGCAATCATATCGGCCCATGGTCGTTGCTGAGGTGCTCCTTGAGGTTGCTGTGGCATGGGCTCAAATTGATTGTATTGAGGAACAAACTGAGGTTGAGCCGATCCTCCCTGCTGATATTGAACTTGTGGTGATGGAGGCTGATACTGATAATTCAAATTGCCCCCCTGGTAATTTTGAAAATCTGGCTGAATATTACGCACCAAATGTTCAGGAACAACTTGAGGTATCACCGTTTGATCTGGCTGTACATGATGAACCAAGTGCTCTGGGACAACTTGACTCGTAGCATGCTGCCCAGGCTGACTGCCAGGTGTTGTAAATCCAGCCGATGCATTCATCAAACCTTGCTGTTGAATCGGTTGAATGACCTGTTGCCTTAATGGTGTCTGCTGAATTGGTTGTAGAACCTGCCGTCTTGGTGACATCTGCTGAATTGGCTGCACGACCTGTTGGATTGGGGGTGTTTGTTGAATCGGCTGCACAATCTGCTGCCTTGGTGGCGTTTGCTGAATCGGCTGCTGCTGGGTTGGATCAACAGTATGTTGAGGAGGTAAGAACATAGATGCAACCTGATCTTGTGTTAGCCGATTCATATTCTGTCCACTATGTTGTTATTGTTCTCTCACCAGCAACCGAGGATTAACTAATTGGCCTGGAGCCGATGATGGTGCAGCAGGTGCAGGAGCTGATACTGGCGCCATCGGCTGAGCCGATGGTGCATTAAGAGGGATTGATTAGACAGCTGGCTGATTATCAGTGATTAGTGGCCGATAATTCGGGAACACCCCTCCTGGTAGATAAACCGGTCCTGTAGCCTGATACTTAGCCATTGAACCATCAACCATTGTTTTCACCATGTTTGACAAAGTGTTGACTAATATTCCAGATTGATTGATCAAAGCATGGTGCACGGCATAGTCAACTTGATCCTGGAAGTTGTTGAACTGCAACTGTGCCGCATTGCCGTCTTGATTAGGGCCTTCACCTTGAACTCCCTGAGCACCATCACCTTGAACACCCTGCACTCCTTGAGAGCTATCACCCTGATTTCCTTGAAAGCCATCTGCAGCACCTTTATTACTCGGTTGAGCCGAACCATCTGGAGCTTGTTTCACTTCTCCATCCTTAGAAGAACCGGTCCCAGGAACATCAGCAACTACCTTCACCTTATACTTCTGCACCACTGTCCCCTTGCGGGTCTGCATGAATGAGTTTAAGAACTGGTTCCGTGCTTGCTGCATCATTGCGTCAAAATCTTTCTGTTGATCAGGTGTCAACTTGTCTGGAGTGATGGTCATGATGTTGCCTTCATTAACCTCAGATAAGCCCAGCTACTGGATCTTTTCATTAACAGAACCTGGACTAGCCGAGGACGGCGATGGCGGCAGTTTCTCGGCCATGGGGAAAACTGTTGTTGACTTCTAATCGGTCCCACTGGGCGTGCCAAAAGCGTGTTGATGAAAAACACGAGGCCTGGGAGATCTGCTTAACTCCAGTGCAGGTCCAAAACTCGCCTTCGGGTATGCTAGCGTGCCAGTTGATTTGATCCTGCAATCAACAAGAAATAAAGGCAAAGAAACCGCGGTTAAACCTATAAACAATAGCCGATCGGCTAGGTGCCAATGACATATCATTTATCTTTGAGCCGATGTCATATATGCATCGATCGGCAAGCATTAATAAATAAAACAGAACTAAATCTACTCGATCGGCTGTAGATATTAACAATATATAATCCTTATATCGATATATACTTAACTCAAGTGATTGGGATAGATCGGTCGCCATGCCGAGACAGTAAAATCACATAGATCGAAATATATATTAATAATAAGATTATATATGTTTATAGCATAGCCAATCAGATAGATCTAGTATGTATCGGCTAATACTCCGATACCACTCTATGTTAAGATATTAAAGCAAGCAGAATATACCAAACAAGAGCCTAATATACTTGAATGCAATAAGATCTTGGCATAAAGGGCAGATTTAACATGTCAGTAAAGCATACAAAGCAAATATAGTTAAATCAGGTAAGATCGGCTGAAACTCCGATACTACCCTAATCGGCAACCAAGAAGCAGGCTAGAGATTGTGATTCTAATCACGACTCATAGGATAAATACTATGATATTCATAAAACTTATTGGGATATAAATTTTCAAAAAAAATGATGTATTGTGTGTATTTACTAAAACTTACATCATGAAAAAAAAAGAATTTAAGCAAATTACCTTTATTACAAATTACTGATCGAAATTTCGATAATTTCAATAATTTCGATAATTTTGATCGGAATTTCGCTAAAACCGACCGGTTTTTGAGAACTTGTCGGCAGCTTAGGGATTTGTATTCAAATTTTGGTTTAGTTTGGAATTTACTGGTTTTTCACCGGATTTCACGAAATTCCGAATTCCGCCTGTGCCCGAAACAGAAGGGCATGTCGGAATCGTAAACCCTGGATGTGACATATTCTAGTATACAATGAATATAGATAGAGGTATGTCCAAATTCGTAATACTAGAATATGTCATATCTAATTACATAGATTGGTTTTTTATCGGACGGAGGGAGTACATACCACACACTTGCATTTTCGGACACGAAGAACTAACCTAAAGCCGTCCATGGCTTCCATGCCTCTACCTGTGCTGTACCCATCCGGGGCCATTGAATCCATTGGAGAAAAAAAAAAAGGGCCCAAGAATTCTAGAAGATCTGTTCATCTGCTGTACCCAACCCGTGCAGTTGTAAAAGCGCTGAACTGGTAACGCACGCACGCCTCACACTATCCCCACTCCACTCTCCCATCACTCATCACCCGCACGAGTAAAAACCATTGGCCTCGCCGCTCACGCGCACCAGCGTCCCACACTCTCCAACCAAAAGCCGGAACCGACGGCGTCGCAGCGCAGCGCAGCGGCCGCGTTCGACAGCCATTGCCACCGCTCCCCATGACGGTCGCCGCCGCAGCAGCAGCAGCAGCAGACGATGCCGGAAGACCGGGCGCCGCCGCGGCGAGGCTCCGCGTGATGTGGCGCGTCGTGCGCGCGGCGGAGGCGCTGGCCCTGGCCGTCCTCCTCTCCCGCTCACTCCCCCTCCTCCCCGTCGCGGCGGGCGCGGCGGGCGCCGTGCTCCGCGTCGGCGCGTCCTTCCTCCTCCACCCGTGCTCCGTCTTCCTCCTCGCCAACGGCATCGTGGTTCTCCTCGTCGCGCTCTCCCGCCGCGACCGCCCCTCCTCCTCCTCCTCGTCCTCTTCCTCATCATCCTGCTCCGACGACCACGACGACGTCCACGACCAGTTCCTCTCCTTCGCGGGCGCGCATCTGCCGCCGCTGCCCGCCGCGATCACCGGGGCGGCCGCGGCGGATCAGGAGGAGGGCGCGGTGTTCGAGGACAAGCAGGCGGTGCACGTGACGCCGGCCCGCGCCGCCCCGCGGCGGAGCAGGTCCGAGAAGGTCGGCCGCGGCAGAAGGCCGACGAGGGCGGCGTCGCCGGAGCTGCGCCGGTCGGAGTCGGAGCGGTGCCGCCGCCGCCGCCGCTCCCTGTCGTCGTCGTCCGCGTCGCTGGCGGACTGGGGCATGGAGGAGGACGACGGCGGGGAGAAGGAGGAGGAGGAGTTCCGGAGGGCGGTGGAGGCGTTCATCGCGAAGCAGCAGACGCGGTTCCACCGGGAGGAGTCGTTCGTCCTGGTCGCCGGCGCCGGCGCCGGAGACGAGACGAGTGCTGCTGCTGCTGCTGTTGAAGTGAAGTGAGGCCTTCGCCTCTCCGAGACTCGAAGAGCGTGATGATGAGTGTTGAAAGGATCGATCGGGTGGGGAAGCGTGTAAAGAATGTCTTGGTGCCTTGTTTGGTGTACAAGTTTTGCCTTTTGTCTCTTGTCCTCCCAGCATCTGGAAATGTTTCTTTTCTTTGTTTGCTTTTTGGCGTGTCTGTGCCCACTGCTTCGTCCAAAGCTTCTTACGCTGCCAATGTACTGCTGGTACAAACCACCACCAATTCAAATTTCTCCGTAGCGCCAAATGAATGGCAGGACATAGGACCAATTCAAATTTAGTTCGGCCCAAAGTATGAAATTTGGTTGAAATTGGAAACGATGTGACTGAAAAATTGTGTATGGAAGTTTAGAAAAAAAAACCTTTGAAACTAAACACACCCATACTACTACAGATGAATGGCATGACTGGATTACAGATTACTGGACCCCGTTTAATGCCATCATTGATCGTAGTACAACTTAATAGTCTCTTGAATCAATAAGAAAATGGAGGAATAAAAAAATATAGAATTTTGATAGAAATGCAAGTTTAAAACAGAGTATTATAACACTTAGGAAAAATATAAAAATGATCATTTGATAGGACCACAGAAAATACGTAGAAATTAGATGAGAGAGATAGACACAAAGAAAAACTTTCAAGAGGTTAAAACTCTTACTAAATTTTCTCCAAAATCTCAATTCTATAGGAATTCCAAGGGATTTGATTCAATCATTTGTTTCAAAGTTTATCATATGAAATAGTTTATTATAGGATTGTAATTAATCCTCCAAATCCTGTGTTTTTCTTAACAAATCAAAGGGCCCTAAAAACGCATGAATTTCATAACTTAGTTTAATTCTTGTGATATTCCCGCAAAAGTCATCTACTCCGCATATAGATTGAGAAAAATACTACTACTACTATGATTTTTGTACTAGCACATTTCGGGAGCCTCGAGATCAACTAGCCATCGTCTGGAAAAATGGTTTTTTTTCAGTAGTGGGGTGAAGACGGCAAGTTTACTTGTGCTAATGGACATGATATGAGAGCAGCAGTGGCGACACATTTCGGTACATCGCACGCATGCCTTTTCTCCGTATGAACAGTTGCAACGTACATATGCCATGCCAACCTTGCATGCCCCCCAAGTACTTACTATTCGTGCAGCCGTGCATGATTGCCAACACGAGTCGATCTATTCAGGTAAAAAGAACATGAGTGTAGCTAATCCATGCAAGTGAAAGGGATATATATATATATATATATGTATGTATATATATGTATATATGTATATATATATATGTATATGTATATATATATATGTATATGTATATATGTATATGTATATGTGTATATGTGTATATGTGTATATGTATATATGTATATATGTATATATATATATATATATTACATATATGTATGTATATATATACATATATATATGTATATGTATGTATATATATATGTACATATGTATATATACATATATATATATACATACACACACACACACACACACACACACACACACACACACACACACACACACACACACACACACACACACATATATATATATATATATATATATATATATATATATATATATATATATATATATATATATATATATATATATATATATATATATATATATATATATATATATATAATGAATTGAAATGTTGGTATATATGACATTTTCTCTGGCACTGATCGCCTGATCTGAAAGCTTGCAAGATGGATATCAGTTGCTGAGTAACTGCAAATCAACATTAAGTATAAAGACTAGTAGACTACTTCTACAATGTATAATATCCACTCTAGAGGCTTTAAGATCCTCTCATACATACCTTGTGGATGCCCTAAATGCACATACATAAATAGTACTCTCTCCGTCCCTAAATATTTGACGCTGTTGATTTTTTTTAAACATGTTTGACCGTTCGTCTTATTAAAAACTTTTGTGAAATATATAAAACTATATGTATACATAAAAGTATATTTAACAATGAATCAAATGATAGAAAAAGAATAAATAATTACTTAAAATTTTTGAATAAGACGAACAGTCAAATATGCTTAAAAAATCAACGGCGTCAGACGGAGGGAGTAGGCTACTAGCATTAGCAGTCGTACGTAGCATGTAAACTAGTGTGCCGGCCGGATGCTCCTTGCCTGTGTCGCTGTGTGCATATGCATGCATGATGAATGGTTTAGCTCTTAATTTTCTACACTACTACTAGAATCTAGCTACTCCTAGTTCAGAGCAGGGGCCCCGGGTTAACCAATAATGTTACACTACACAGTTGGGGTACAACATGGAAACTAAACTGAGGTCTCTTTTGAAATAAAGGAAAATAAATGATTTTTGTAGGATGGCCTATTTGATTTATAGGAAAAACAATAATTTTAGAGATTTTCAATTCTATAAGAAAATTTTCTATAAAGGCCTTTACAACCAAGGATTGAATCCTATCCTATCATATCATTTGTAATTCGTATGAAATAAACAATCCTATAAAAATTTTAAAGAAAACTTAGCAAAAGTTCCATTCTCTTGGAAAATTTCCTTTGAGTTTATCTCTCTTATCCGATTCTTGCGTTTTTTTCTGTGCTTCAATCAAACGGTTATTCCTACGTTTTTTTAGCATTTTGCAATACTATGTTTTGCACTTGCATTTCTGTTAGAATTATATTTTTTTTCCTATTCCTCTTTTTTTTTCATTCCTACGATTCAAAGGGACATCCTATAGAATTTTTCCCATGTGCTCCTTTAGAACAAAGAAATGGGCACTTCAGATTCCTATAAAGTTCTCGTGGAATGGCTTGATTCATGGGAGTTTTAGAGAATTTTTAACATGAAGTTGGACCTTATAGGAAACTTTTCTTGGGTCCATCTCTCCAAAATTCCTACACATTTGGAGCATTCAAACTACAAGTTTCACACAACACCTGTATTTTAGCATTTCTAAGAATCAACTAGATATGTCACCTTAATAATTTCTATATTTTTTCTATTTCTGTGTGTTTTTGAAGTACTATGTTAGGAGTCCTGAGGGGGCCGGACTGCCGGAGCCCGGTTACATTAGAACATTACTGAGGCTAATTAGCTAGAGTAGGTTCTACGGGTCACTGACATGACAATTCTTGCATCATTTATACTATATTTCTTCTACAGTATGAAGAGACTGGGTTGGCACAGGCCAATTATTCAGTTTGAGTATATAAAAAACTAAGGCTATATATATAGCATGTTGCCTTTTCAGTTTTTACAGCAAGAGATTGACATGGCTGTGAGCCTGTGACACTGCACCACACATAAGTATATATTCAGGGCTTGTTAGCTGATGGCTAATTGTGTAGTAATTCTGAACGACATATAAATGAACGCAGGCAGTAAAACACTAGTACTAAGATTGAACAACCTTAATTCAAAGGTTTTCAAAGAACACATACGGCCTCAACTATTGTCAGATGTTATTCGAGATTTGGAGTTTGCAGAGATACAGAGTACTGTAACATGTATGAATGAACACATTTTACACCACTGAAGTAGTGTTGCACTACTGCAGCAGTGAAAAATGTGAAATGCTAGTCTTTCACGCTGAATCTGCAAATCCAACCCTCATTTTGCCATAGTCAAAGATGGTGTGATAAGCCCCCATAAACACATCGCCTAATATCCTGCATAAATGAGGGGGACAGAGGAACGATCGTATAAGATTGAGGAGTCACATGCATCTGATAAAAGCGAACTGCAAAGGCAACCACTTAGTATCATTTAATTACCTCCAGTGAAATATATATGTCTAGTTAGCTTATCGCCATCTTTGCAAAAATAAAAATTATGCATTTTAAGCTGAAAATAAGTCAAATTAAATATTTTCCAATCTAATTCTTACAAATCGGCATACAAATGCATAGTATTTATACTACCACTTTTCATAAATATTTAACATTGAACAAGATTCCGTGAAACTTCTAAAATTCAATCGAACTATTTGAGGGAGCTAGAGTAGGCAAAACACTAATTATCATGAAATTAATTAACAATATTGCTCAAGCTTATGGTGGCTTATCCATATTTGGCAGAGTACGGGAATGAACTCGTGAAGGCTTATTCAATGAGGAACTCATCCTCATATGCAATCACTTCCCTTTTTTTTTACTTTATTTATATGATAAAATTGCAAGTAATAGTAACCATCCTTTCATAAGTATGATCTTCTACATTCTAGTTCTCCGTGTTCTACCGTCTGGCTTACCTTTTTCATGTTACATTCAGATCGAATAACTCTGTAAAATTACATCAATACTTCTGCATATTATGATTAATATAGTAGACATCCCTACATATTAATTACCACATACATGTTGAACGAGTAGATCAATCCATCTACCTACCCGCACAATTTTATATTACAAAAATTTTATAACAAACGTCTATATTATTATGATAGCATTTTTCAAGACGAATGTATGTATACTACCATTTATTTTGTTTATAAACTAAGTATACGAGAAATTACTGATGCTCGGAATTTAAAGTTTTATCAAATTTTATTCTAAATATTAAATATTTATAACCAGGAAGAGTATTGTGTTGTACTACTGAGATCCGGAAACTTTTATAAAGAAAAAGGTCCATGGGAGCAAGGTTGAAACAAAAGTTACACACATATGACGGTCTTACCAGAGAGGACCTATTGGAGGAGGAATGTCTAAAGCCGTGAATCCACTCATACAATGAGCCAGGAATCCCTCTCCAAATTTGAGAATGTACTGCTTAACAGGAAAACTGTATTAAACAGGAGTATTTGGGTGAAATTTCGATGGCTTTTAATATCATAGAAAGAACTTCTCCGTAGGAGGATGGCAGTTAGTCAATCGTTATATTGTAAACAACAAAATAAGAAACCAAACAGTATGAAATGGTAATCCATAAAGCTGAGCCGAACAAATGGACACAGAGAAAGCATCATACTAGAAAGGCAAAATACAGAAAAATAGATTACGACTAATTTGAACTTGGAAAACGACACCTTGTGGCTTGGGCCATCTCCGTGGATGGACCAGAAAAGGGAAAATCTCGGACCATTCGTGTGCAGCATGGGCCGGTATATCAATGGGCTGAAATTAATACCCATCCAAACAAGGCCTCATGAGGATGGGCCAGGATTTTGGGCTTCCCAAATCAAGGAAATAATGCATGATGCAAATTAAATATTTATTTCTACTTATATTTTATAATCCACTAGCAAAAATACCCGTGCGTTGCAACGGGTGAAAAAATTCTAATGATAATATATGTTTTTCATGCATAATCATGTTAATGACAATGTTTGTATTATGATGAGCGGCTTGTTTTTTTATAAACGGTGTTTTTTTTTCTTGCGTGATTTTCTCGAACTATTATTCAGAAATGGCGCATTTCTTTCTTATAGTTTTTTCCTACCATGTTTTTTTTTACTTTTTTTACTGACGATGAAAACCATATTTTTCTCCCCTTTTTTTCTTTTATTTTCTCGTGTGTTTTTTGCATGTTTTTTCTAACAATCATTTTCTCACGCGTTTTTTTCTTGTTTTTTTCAAATGTTATTTTTTGCTTTTTTCCAATACAGGAGAATATGTGACGAAATAAAAGCCGTGTAGTAGATGGCAAAAAATCAATGGATTCTATCCGACTCAAGTGTCCATCAATTTAGTGTTTTTTCTGACAGTTTTTTCAGAGCGATTTGTTTTTTAATAGATGGTGTTTTTTTTTCTTGCGCGGTTTTTTCAAACCATTTTTTTTAGAAATGGCGCTTTTTTTGACAGTTTTCTCCTCGCATGTTTTTTTTAAAAATTTTTTACCAGCGATGGAAATAATTTTTCTCGCGCTTTTTTTTTTGTTTTATGGAAGATGTAAAACCTTTTTAGTGTGTTTTTTTTGTGCTTTTTTCTGACTTTTTTCTCACGCGTTTTTTGAACGGTTTTTATTTTCTCGTGTATTTTCTATTTTTAAATAGTTAGATTAGATTAGAGATAGAGAAGAGATATATACTGATTAGAAATCGGACTTTGTTTCGCCCTTTCCATTTTTTTCTCACATGCATTTTTTATTTTATACGAACCAGCTTCTTATTTTTTACGAACCATTTTTTTCACTTAGGGGAAACGGACTTTTGTTGTTGTTGTTTTTCCTTTTTTTTTTGCGGCTTTTCTTTTTCTTTTTATGCACCTTTCTGCCTTTGTTCTCTCACTTTTATCATTTTTTTAACAAAAACAACCTCAAGTACCTTATTGCAAAATTATAGGGACTCAAATGTAAATATAAAAATTATAGGGACTCGAATGCAAAAGTAATTAAAATCATATGAAAATGAAATGCTCTCGACCTGTAGGTTCCATTTTTGCAAATAGATCTTCAATTCGGCACATCAATTTTTTTCACCAAGATGTATGTGATATCATTGTATAGATTGAAACCGAGAGGAGGGTGCCTGGGATCTCAGACTCAAACCGAAATAAGTGGTGCCTTTTATTTTTTCCTTTTTAAAGGGGAATCGGATATAGAGTCGGACTTTTTTTTTCTGAGAGGAATAGGAGTCGGACTTTTTTTTTTATTTTTTCGCTATTTTTTTTACGGACGAAGGAGTCGTACCTTTTTTATTATTATTTTTTCGCTATTTTTTTTACAGACGAAGGAGTCGGACTTTTTTTTATTTTTTCGCTATTTTTTTTGACAGACGAAGTAAGCATCCCTTATTTTTTTAAGTAGTAGAGAAGTATATTCTAATAAGAGTTGGAATTCCGGGGAATATTCAGGGAAGCAGCAAAACAGAAAGAAAGAAAGACATAATACTAATACTCTATTAGAGAGCAATACCTGCTCCGGTGTCAGCTCAAATGCTCTTCCACCTATGCTGAATGCGACGTTCGGCAAGTGACCGATGTGTCTGCAGTCCACATATGATCCTACTGGGCTAGGCATGTTGCCACAGAGCTGTCATTCAACACGGCTACTGGTTTAGAACTGTTCGATGAATAAAAACAGTAACACTTCGTATAGCCATACCTGATTAGCATACTCCAACTTGCCCTCCTTTGTATGGTTCTGAACAAATTCGCTCTGCATCCATGTAACTGCCATCTCACATGCATTACACGTAGCGTCAGAAACTTCGTCTGCAGATTTGTGCGTCTCACCCAGCACACTCTCAATGCCATCGCTGATGAATTCAGAAGAAGCATATACGATTATGATGGAAATCCAAAATAGACAAAGTACAAAGAAGAATTTCTTTTTCTAGAAAAATGTTGTTTAATTTGCCACAGCACCTAATTCCATGCGCTCCATCGGATTTGCAGAGCCCAATTTTGGAACACACTTGTGCTGGTGGTGTCTGCAATCAACATCCAACCATGCATATGGAGTTGAGATTCTGAAGTGAAAGAAACAGAAATGGAGACATTGCATCTTGCTGACGAAGTAGTAAGTACAGCAAATGCAAGTCACTCTGAAGAAGAGAGCTCCAACCTTATCTTGCAGCAACTCTAGCATTTCATGCCCATGTCTAGCAACAACTTGTTTGCACTCTTCGTTTGCCACACCGGTGGCTCCAATATGTGCATGGATCTGCGCAATAGCAGCCTACACAACAGCAAGTAATCCAATATAAACCTCTCAAAAACATAAAATAAAATAAAAATAAAAGTAAACCTCTCACTGAGACGATGGATTCAGTGAGTACTTTGATTTGCTATGCAACAAACATAAAAGAAAATTATCAAAGTTAAGATGAAACATGTGGAAGGATATGGATCGCTTACTATAGGACCAGCAATCAACGAAGTTCCTGAGTCTGCTATGACAGCACAACCGTCAACACAAATTCCTGTCATGACATACATCATCAATCAGGCAAGAGGAACGCAATTATTTGTAGACCTGGAACTGGAAAAGCAAACTAGCATAGAGCATTACCAGTGCTCCTGCCTCCAATAAGAAAATCTCCCATTTCAAACTGCACGTTTACCGATGATGGAAACAAAGTTAAATTTTCAAAAAAGTTTGTAGAAAGGACAAATTATAGAAGATTCAGGTCAGGCAACTGTACTATGTAACTTATGAAGACTGAAACTTACTGCTAACCTGCCAATAAGCTTTCCGAGTAACTCGGGTGTATGTATGATCACCTTTGTAATGGCTCTCGTCAGCACCTCCAAACACAATCTCACCCCCATTGATATCGTTTGCATTTCGATTTAACCAAAAGGAAAATACCTTGTCAGTCACAAGGCTTTGTTGAATCATATTGTACCTGGTAGACTACTGAAAATGTTAAATGCCACAAAAAAACAGGACAGTCAAGTGATAAGTCACAAAAATATTTATGGCATACTTTGTATCAGGTTCCCATTTAATGAACAACAAGAGGTTCACAAAGAAAACCAAACACTAGGTGATATTGCAGGTGTTACCGTGGTAAATGATAGCAATATATATCAGCAAGATTTGTGCTGTCGTTGTTATTAGGATTTGTGTCATAAAATTGGCTTGACCATTAAAAAAAAGGAGACAGCCATTGAAGTATGCAGTGGAAAAAAGGATTACTTCCATCCCAACTTCTGAATCAAGATGTTTTTAGAAAAGAAAGATTTTATTGAAATAAAGATAATTACATCAAGATGATACAACCATCTTGAGATCACTCCCGGACTGAATCAAGATGTGGTGATTGATTCATGTCAAATAAGGGTCATAAAAAAAAACAAACAAACACCAGAACAATGGCACCGACTAATTCATTATTCAAACATCCTGAAAAACTACAGTAATATCATAGTTGAAATTATCATACCAGACTGGGTCTGCACCTTCAACTGAAATTTCCTTAAATCCAAGTCCAAGGATGCCATCAAATTTTGCTGCTAGAAACGTAAGACCAGGCTCATGAGTAGCTTCAATGAATTCCTGGGAACATAATTCAGTTCAGTAACATGAGCATTGACAGTTCATAGTGTTCTGTCAGATTAAGCATATAATTTCGAAAATGATAAAAGAACCTGATTATTGACAACTAGATCACCAATGGTAACTTGATCTTGACTGTAATAACCATGAATAGATCCTGTTCCATAGTGAATGGAAGCAGGTGTTCCTGAATAACACATGGAAATGGAGAGGTGAGATCATCACGAAGTATTAGTCCTATTAGAAGCACTATGTATAATAATAATAAAAAATATGTATTCTTTGGCAAGTACTATCAGAAAAAAAAATGTATAACACGGATAGAAAGAAACAGAGGCTGAAATGATGTCAAATCAAATATAATTCAACTAAGAAACCAATTTATATCTTATTTTTATGGCTTTTTCACCTAAAGTATATTGGGTGAGTAGTTAACCCACATGAAGTTCATTCAGCTGAGAATATCTAGCAATTGGAAGCTGAATTGTTAGATAAATGATTTGACAATAGATGGTAACACAAAATTGAGTTAAAGTTGACTTGAACTTGTCACAGAGCACACCCACACTTTCCCCTTCTAAGTTTTCCTATCACAGATTTTTTTCAAATTTGAGAACTAGTACAGAATCTGAGCAACAAACAATCCACAATGTACTAAATTGGTAGATATCTGGTAGAGAAAGAATACCATTCTCCATGTAAGTACTGGAACTTCTTGATTCATACTTCCGATGGAAGTAACAGGCAAGCTGTTCCCACAACAGCAAAAAAGAAATAAGTGAGTTATCAACCTAGCATAACATGAATCCCAAAATGCAAAAGTAAGGAAGAAAAAACATGTGTTGCCGTAGCTTCTTACCGAAAAAACGCACTTGGCGGAAGGGACCCAGAGGTTGGAGCTCCCGGTGTCAAAGACCACCGTAAAATTCTGCGGTGGGCAGCCAACTCCGATCTCCCCAAAATACTGAGCGTTCAGAAAGTTCTTCAGCGCTAGAGGATGATTCTGAGTGCCATTTTTCAGGCTACCCCTTTCTCTGAACCCTCTGTAACTCCAGAAATGCTTGAGCCTCCCTTCCATGGCTGCAGCCTCTATGTCCCTGAGCATTCTTTGCTGATGCACACGAACATGGTTAATGGCTTCCGTGACCGGATCGTAGAATCCCTCATCTGCCGAATTCATCCTGACGCCAGAATACCCAAGTGCAACCTCGTGGTCCACTGTACCACTCTTGGGAACTAGTTCACCGTAGATGCTCTCCATGATCGGTCTCTTCTTCAGCGCGATGCGGATCAGTCCATCATTGGCAGCAGATGCAAGCATACAAGAAACGAAGAGGATCGAGAGAAGGGTACATATCCGACTGGCTGTGTGACCCATTCTGATCAGCAGAATATACAGATGAGGCGCAGCAATAATAGTTCGGCAAAGCTTCAAGCATGACAAATATGTACATCATGCATGTTTGTGTGATAAAATGTCAGAATTAATGAAACGGCATGAAAATAATTCTAGCAATATAATCTTTTCTTTTGCGGGGTCTAGCAATATAATCTTGACCCCGTGCTAATTCATCTCAAGAGCATTTCTCGAATTGGCAAAAAAGAGCTTGCTAATTCATCTCAGAGTAACTGCTCACCTGGAAGAGGTAGAATGTTAGAGAACTGGAGATCAGCGGAGGGCGTCTGAGAAATTATTGCCGTGCTTAAGCGCTACTTATAAAGGCAGAACACGTACGAACTGAGCTACACCAGCCGGGACACAAGTACATGCAAATCTGATCTACCTGGAGATGGAGTACATCCTTGAACGACGCTGGAAATACATCCGAACATGCAGTGCAGCGTCATGGTAGTATGCTTCACCGGAGACGGTATAGGTTTGCGTACGTCACGTAACACTGTCAACTGGACCCTGTGCAGTGCCTTGGAAGGCTAGCTAGCTAATCGAAGGATTCTCACATTTCCTCACTGAACCCCGAAGTGGCAGTAGGAGCAACGCCCATGTCACCGGCCGGCCGACGGCCGCGATGCTCGGCCATCCGATCATATTCCGATCCACCGCGCGAGATGGCCCACAACCGCAACGCAGCCTTTGGGGGCACGAGACGCGACGCGACCAGATGTTTGCATGCGCCGCACTCCACGTCCCGGCTAGCTAGGCGGCTATTTAGCAGCAGCAAACTAGAGTCGGCCTGCTTTTTTTTTAAAAAAAAGTTAAAGATATTTAGTAAATCTCACAAAACTACAGGTATTTTAACTAAATTATCACAAAACTAAAGATTTAAAGCGTTGTATCACAAAATTATAGATTTAGCACCAAATTTATCATAAAACTACAGAGTTAAGATTAAGTATCACAAAAATACATATTTAATATTGAAGTTATCACAAAACTACAATTTTTGGAGTTTAAATCCCTTGCACCCTTGTTATGTTAGAGCTATAAACATTATTGCTTCGTGACTAAATTGCTTCTAAACCTGTAGTTTTGTAATAATTTAGTTACTAAACATGCAGTGTTGTGACACTTCCATCTTAAATGTGTAGTTTTCTGCTAAATTTGGTGTTAAATGTGTAGTTTTGTGATACACCGAGTTAAATATGTAGTTTTGTGATAATTTGATCATAATATCTGTAGTTTTGTGAAATTTACTCTAAGATATTTGATTTTCGTTAGCATGTTTTTCAAACTACTAAACGATATATATCGTGCGAAAACTTAATATATAAAAGTTGCTTTAAAATACCAGATAAATCCAATTTTCAAGTTTAAAGTGATTAAATTTTAGTTTAATCATGCGCTAATGATTTTTTTGTTTCGTGTGTTCGTATTTAATTGTTATTTTCAGCAAGTTTAAACGGGGCCTGACATTATGTGAGGCATTGGCCGTCGTGGCCGTGGCGAACGGTATACTCTCGTGTTTAGGTAGTCAAGCAGTTGCAATTGCACTGAGGAATGAGGTTCCGTCCCTTAATGAGGATTGTGGTGTGGTACCTAGGACTGTGGCTCGTTAGCTTGCTCAGCTCGTGGCTAACTTAACTCGACTCGGCTCGGCTCGTTATGTTTTCGAAACGAGCCGAGCTGCTGTTTTAGCTCGTTACACATAACGAGCCAGGCTGGTACCTACCTGTCCGGCTTGTGGACATCCGGCATCATCAAAGAAAATGTCAAATCAGAGAAAAGCTCTTGTTTCTTTGTCATGTTTAGGTGCTTCGTGTATAAACTAGTATAGGATTGTGGCCGATTGATCCACGCATTTGCGTGAATTGCAGAGTAAGTACTACTGCTCTGTTCTCTAGTTTGGGTAGTGATTCTGTTTCGACTTGCGTCCCCTAATGTTCAGGAAAGATGAGAAATGCAGCAACAGAATTGGTAACAGTTTGACCTTTTCTAATCCGGGTCCCGCGGCTGGCGAGATCAAGTTGCTGGATCGTTTTCTGGTGCAGATTCGCCGTTAATTTTTTTCAATTTTTTTGCGACATGTTATAAAAAGAGAGACGTCTCATTAAGGGACGAATAGACTTTTCCTGATTTGTGGTCAAAATATGAAGCGATTTCCAGAAATATTCACAGGTATTTTCATTCAAGTCACAACATTTTACGGGCAGAGATCAGATGAAACATTTACATTTACACAAGGGGATTAAAAAACAAAGACAATTCCTCGTATACACAGACAGCAGGATACTTACAGTTTCTCTGAAAATAAAGCCACACAAAAGTGGCAAAACAAATTAGCGCGAAAGAAAGAAGAAGAAAGAATCAACGGGACACTTCAAAAAATCTCCCAATTTGTTGTTCTCCCCCCGCTTCTCCTTCTCGATCCCAGAGCAGACAATCTCGACAAAATTCGAACGAATTTCGCGAAATCCAAACATCTCGAACTGTTTTTCTCGAAATTTATCTAGCCCTAGAATCCAGACCAATGAGAGAGAGCTCAGAGCTGCTTGAGGCCGAAGCGCATGACGAAGAAGCAGAGCCTGGCGACGACGACGATGGATTCCACCAGCCACAGCAGGTGGTACACCACCTTCTCGTACAGCACCGCCAGCAAGCGCCCCCGCGGTCGCCACCGCAGCGCCGCCGGCAACGCCCGCGCACGGAGCTTCCTCTGCGGCGGCGCCGGCAAGGCCTCGCCGCCGTCGCCCTCGCTCCGGCTCCGGCTCCCGGCCGCCTTGCTCTTGCTCCTCCGCGGCATCATCCGCCTCCGTATCCACTCCCCCACCTTGCCCACGCCAGCAGCCATCCGATCCAAAGTCGTCGAACGATCTCACAGCTGGTGGTTCTTCGAGATGTGTACGTACGTACGAGTATGACCTCCTCCTCCTCCTCTGCTCGCCGGAGCCTTTTATTGTGGCGCGACGCCCACGCGGTTGGCGAGTTGACGCTTGACGCTGCCTGTGCCGCCAGAATTTGAAATTTCGAATGCGTCCAATGCTCCGATGCTTCTCCGTATATTAGTACCAGTCCATGGACCGATGGAGTCATGGAGATGGAGTGGAGAAGACGAAAAAGATGTACTTAAATAATTACTCCCTCCGTTTCAAAAGAAGTACAGCTGTGGATTTCCGTGCCCAGTGTTTAACTGTCCATCTTATTTAAAAAATTTATAAAAAAACTGAAAATATTTAGTCACACATAAAGTACTATTCATGGTTTATCATCTAAAAACAATAAAAATAATAATCATAAAATTTTTTTAAATAAGACGAATAGTTAAACGTTGGATGTGAATAGTGCAAAACTACACTTATATTTTGGGACGGAGGGAATACTACAACATGAGATGAGAGGGCGACGAGTAGAAGACGATTCATGGTCAGAGTTAGGTCATGGTCAACAAGAGGCCTGAAGCCTGTGAAGGTTTGCCCGGAAGATTCCGATGCTGCTTGGAGAAGGAGGTTTGACAAGTATTTTTCTTTTTTGTTAGTCTCATAGTTAGTGTGTGAATCATGATAAAGAAAGATGATTTTGCGTGTGATGGAGTCAAATTTAGCCGCTAGGGTTGATCGGTTCGTCCTGTCTCGATGTACACGGAAGCAATTCTGTTTGACTCACTCAGGTGACAGCAAGGCTGACGCTAGTAATATTAAGCGTATCACGCTAGCAAGTGCAATTATTTGGGGTTGCGGCCAGTTGATTTCGCTCCGCTGGCTGTTTCCTTCTAGAAAGTCAGAGCTCGAAATGTGCTTCTGGAAATTCAGGACTCATGATTGTGCTTCTAGTACGAGGTGATTACTTATCCGTCCCATAAAAAAAATCATTTTTCAGTTTATACAACGTTTCACTCTTCGTTTTACTTTATTTTCATATTTTTGCCGTACATTTTAAAGATGTTTCCGTAGTACTACTATCTGAGACCAAAATACTGTACTATCTGGTCAGCCAGAGAGACTTTCTATTGGACGACCCAAACGTAGGCGGTGTGTTTAGTTACTTTCAAAATTGAAAGTTTGGGTTGAAATTGGTACGATGTGACTGAAAAGTTGTGTGTGTATGGCAGGTTGATGTGATGAAAAAAAATTAGAAGTTTAAATCCAAAGTTTGGATCTAAACACAGGGCCTGTTTGGATCCGGAGGGCTATTAAATAACCCTCCGAAATCTTGTTATTTAGGAGTATTAAACGTAGATTACTGATAAAACCTATTCCATAACCCCTAGGCTATTTTGCGAGACGAATCTAACGATGTATATTAATCCATGATTTGCTACAGTGATGCTACAGTAATCATTCGTTAATCATAGATTAATATACCTCATTAGATTCGTCTCGCAAAATAGACTAGGGGTATAGAATTGGTTTTGTCAGTAATCTACGTTTAATACTCCTAAATAGCAAGATTCTAGAGGAATATTTAATAGCCCGAAGGATCCAAACAAGCCCACATTCCAGAGGATCCAAACAAGCCCACAGGCGTAAAAGTGTTGTTTCGTGCTTTTGTGACGATTCACTAGTAGACGTCTAGACATGCCGTAAGAGGCAACATCAACATACTGAAACAGCCTGATTGTTTCAGACTTTCCGTTCACCTAAACTAGTAGTGCAGCATCATGAGAAACATCATACTCCATATACTAGTTAAAAAAAGAGGAAAATCCCGTGAAATTCAGTGTTGTCATTTGGCTTAAAGCATCATGAGAAACATCATACTCTCGACCAAACTCAGTCAAACTGACATGGCCTGGTCAAATGAACCGTGTAGCTGATTCTACCAATACAAGGGGAGAGAAACTGATGATAACACCATTCCCTCATGCACAACACTGCAAGTCTGCAAACAGAGGAGCAAGTGAAAACTGAAAGCTTAACAGCACATAAACCCAATGAATGATCCGTGTCATGCATACACCCAACGAGCTTCGTGGATCACAAGAATGGTCATCCAAAGAACCAACATATACCTATACAGCACAAAAAACTTTGAACAACAAAAGAACCATGAAATCCTTCCCTCCAATAATGCTACTACTCGACCTAATGGCTAGGTTTTACCTACCAATCATCTCCCTATCAGAACGGTAACCACATTGGTGATCAATAACATCATATCCCAGGCTGATCAATGATGATGATGATGAGTACTCAGGATGGATCGTAGGTTTATGAACTCAGGACTGAGACCTGTCTGATGTCGAGCTTCCAGTTCTTTCTACCTTGTTTGCAAATTCGGTTGAATTTGAGCCCTCTGCAATCGACTCGATATCCATGCTTCCTGTGCGACTCCTTCGGTTCCTCCGATCCTTTTGCACATGAAGATATGTTAAGCAAGAATTTTATTACTTACAGTATACAACAAGTTTGGTTTTTCAATCATTACCTCCCGGTATGGAACTTCTTCAGACTCAAGCATCCTAACAACTTGGCCCATCTTAGGTCTCTTTTCAGAGTCAGGATCAACACACCGTAACGCAACCAAAAGAGCCCGCTTAATAGCTCTAACAGTTGGTCTAACCTCTAGGATTGGATCAACCACTTCTTCTGCTCTCCGGTTTGCCACCATTATTTTGAGCCACTCGACAAGATTGACCTAAAGAAAGAAATTGGTTTTCATCTGAATAAAAATGTCTTTTTTGACTAACAGCAGTGCAGAAGCATAATGTTCATAAGAAGTTGTCAATACAAACTTACCAAAGGGCACAATACTAAACTATCATGTTTAAATGCATAAAAAATCAGCAACAGTACTAAAAAGATACTGATATTATAACAGGAACCAAACGATTACAAAACATGGATCAAAGTAATATTATGTACCTCATTGCCAGAGCGGCTGTAATCAACAGGTTCCCTTCCTGTCACAGTTTCCAACAAGAGAACACCAAAACTATAAACATCGCTCTTTTCATTCAACATGCCCGTGTTAGCATACTCAGGTGCAACATATCTAAATCAAGAAGAATGGATGAGAATTATTGTACTCCTTGAAATATGGCAAACAAAGGATGCAAATGAGTACAAATAATGGGTAGCTAGCAGAGGAAAATACCCAAATGTTCCCATCACTCTAGTAGTAATGTGGCTTTTATCAGACCCCAAAAGCTTGGCCAATCCAAAGTCAGAGACCTTGCCATTAAATTCCTCATCAATCAAGATATTGCTTGATTTTATATCTCGGTGCACAACTTTTGGTTCTATAGCTTCATGAAGGTAAGCTAGTCTGTGATCATGATTAACCCGCCAAAATATCATCAAACAAATTCCGACAACAGAAACAACATGTATCTTATAGACTGAGAAGCTGATGAAACTTACGCTTTTGCAGTGCCGATAACAACCTTCATACGATTTTCCCAGCTAAAAACACCATGCTGGCGCATAGCTCCATGAAGCCACTGCTCCAAGTTACCGTTATTCACAAATTCATACACCAACATCCTATTAAAAAACCATTGTCATATTATTTCTGTGATATACAATATATCCTAGAGCCTAAGATGCAACCACAAATTTCTAAACAGGTGATGCAAATTTGTTTAGCTCTTCCTTAAAAGACCAAGGGTTACGGATTTCATAAAGAGAAGAATCAACTCTTGCTAATCTGTGGAGGTGTACATATTTGTCATGGAAAAATGGTACCTAATATAGCATTCTGCCTCAACACAAAGAATTCATGATGCTCCAATGCAATTCATAGTTCATCATTTTCTGTTGACATCATAATCACTGTAAAATATATGGGCATGGAGTAGAAGTATTAATCAAAGGCTAACTCAACCCTCTATTTTTTATGGGAATTACTGTCAGGCTTTGCCCAACTCAACTCAACCCTCTATTACCTCACCGTTTATTCTTTTTGCAGCACCAGAGCTGGCAGGCTAATAATATTTTTTTTGACGCAAAAGGCTAATAATATTGCACTCCCTCTATTCCAAAATATAGGGCGTATTTTGTTTTGTTAGGACAAAACTTTGTTGCAATATTATAATATGATTTATGTGATACAAAAGTATAATCATAAGCAAGTACTTTTGAATATGAATCTAATAAATTTAACTTTGCGTCCTAAAAATTATATCATAATAGAGTAATCTTCGGTCAAAACCTTGTCCTAACGAAACAAAATACACCCTATATTTTCACACGGAGGGAGTACATGTTTTATGTGCCATAGATGTGCTTTGAAGCATGTGTCCGCATTACATGTTGGATTTGCGAGGATGAGGGAGCCCTGTAGGCAATTATCATCTGTATAGGATACATGAAAAATTAATTGGGCCAAATGCAGGAGCAGTCTAAGGAAGGTTGAAGATACAACTGAAAAGCTTAGGAGATACAGCAGGACAACTCTCACTTCATGTCTTCAGGAGAGCTATGTGGACATAGTAGAATGTAGTTTGTACAATCTAAAAAACAGTATAAAAGGGAATTTGCTAGTTTACTAAAAAGCATGACCTTATTTTTTTCATCTGTACATCTGAAAGGACAAAATTAAGGCCGCAGTTCCTTTAGTTGATCTATTAAGAATCATTCCGATAGTCCATACAAACTTAGGCAAAATCAGGTTAGCCTAGCATTACAAGTACATATATAAATAAAAAAAGAAACAGACAATTTTGTTACTAACTGACATTTCTGAAAAGAAACAACAGAGCAAGTGTATCATGTCTGGCACTTCACTTACCTATTCACTCCCTCAACACAGTAACCCAACAGCCGAACCAAATTCTTATGCCGGACATGGCCAATAGCCTCGACCTCCACTCTGAACTCCTTTTCTGCCTGCCCCCTGCAAACCCATCATGCAATGTAATTAAGTAAATGAGTAAGATTGTTAGAAACAGAGATCAGAGCAATAGCTAGCAGCCAATTGTGAGCTTACATATTGTTAAAGATCTTTTTGATAGCAACTTCAGTTCCATTCACTAGACGGCCACGATACACAACTCCATATCCACCCTCTCCAAGCACATTCTCCCTAGAGAAACGGTTGGTAGCAAGCTCAAGGTCACGCAAAGTAAACCAATGGCCCCAGCCGAGATGAGAGAACTCCGGGAGGCCAACCAGCGGCGACGCTGACACAAATGCTGCAGGAGAATACGGTTTCCTACCATGCCCTGTGCTACCATCTTCACCGGAATGCACACTACCAGCACGGTCAACATTGCAAACTGAGCTCCCCTGGCTCATGTTGTCAGGTTCCGATGACTTGCTCAGTGCCATATGCCCCAGCGTCTTCCCCGGCTCCCGGTTTGTGTGCTTGTCTTGCGGTGGGAAGCTAGGCTGCTCACGTTCATGCATTGTCTGCGCAAGGCTGCGGCCGCCAACCCTGTCAACCGGGATCTCCTTGGAGAAAATGGGGATCTGTGTTTGCCTCAAATTGTCCATTGTTCTCTTCGTCTTGCGGCGGGATGCCATCCAAATGCATATCATCAGCAGAATGGCAACTAGAAGAGCGACCACACCAATTGCAATCCAGACCCACAATGTTAGGCCAAGAACCGTCCTCCTCATCTCTGAACTCAAATCACTGGAACCCATAGTGGCCCCGTGCTCAATTCTTGTGTAGATTGGGAAATTTCAGTTGGACTGCATCAATGGGGATCCCCTAGTTGGCCTCAGCAAGTGTGGATGCACTCTTCTCCCTGCAGAATGAGAATGAGGCTCTTAAATGCATATGACTTAGTTGTTCTTGCATTGAAACAATCAAGCAAGTCCAGCTTATAAAGAAAAAAAATGTCACTTGAACTACGCCCTGCAAGGAAACCCAACAACGCACAATTCCTGCTCCACGCAGGAATTGCGCCCCAAGAGAAACGTACAGTATTTTTGGGACGGTGAGATGCATCGATGTAAGCAGAAAAAGATATGCAATTCGACAGCCAAAAGGAAAAAGGATATGAGGACTCCCAAAATTCTCTTTTGATCCCCAGTCTCATCAGTCATCACATGAGAAGAAGGTTAAAGCTTACCACTTTTGGCAATAGGACCTCCATCTGCTCATCCCTCAAGCAAAGAACCTGGAGCATCAAAAGGGAAAAGGAAAAAGAAAACCAAGAACCAGTGAGAAGTTAGGACCAAATCCCACACTTCGCCCTACTCCTGCCAACAACTTGAGATCACAGAAGCAGGCAAGAACAGCAACGATTGCCTCGCGAAACATGAACAAGAATCCAACCTGTGCCAGCAATGGCGATGGAAGTAACGCCCAAGACGGAGAGAGAGAGAGAGAGAGAGAGAGTAAAAGGGAAGGTGGTGGATGTTGCAGGTCTAGCATTAAAGGCTGGATCAGGGAGAAGTGAAGGAGAGATGGTGGGCTGGCAATTAAAGAAAGAAATGGTCCGGTAGATTGTTGGATGCAGCGGTGAAAATGGCTGTGGCGCTGTGCTGCTGCTGCTGCTGCAGCTGCAGGGGAAGAGAGGGAAGGGAAAACAATTTCGCTGGTCTGCAGGATAAGGTCAACTGACAGAATAGAATAACTGCATGCATAAGCATGACCGAATAAGCATGGATTCAGGCTGGCTGATCTGAGCCTGGGAGAGTGCGGCCACCACTCCCCCTCAATCCTCACCGAAATCCTCTGTTTGTTTAATCCACGAGCTCTGCCGTTTTGCTACACTTCTTGGCGTATCCCGCGTCACAGCTGTACGTCGCGGCCCATAAAATTCTCCTCCTCAGCCTTCCCCGGATCCTCTGCGGCTGCCCCTGCTGACACGGTGGCACTGCTGAGACCAAAATCTGCTTCTACTCTCTCTCTCTCTCTCAAAACTTTCATCCTGTGATCGAGTGACTACGAACAAATACGGAGTTTTTGCCACCGCCGCCTGCACGACGAAACGAGCGAAATCCGGAACGGGGCTCGTGATTGGGAACGTAGTAAAAGCAGGTACAATAACAGGCTATAAGTCAGATATAAACATATTTTAATGAGATAAATGAGTAGAGAGAAGGACAGCGGGTTATAAATTTATAGCCAACTGTAGCACGGACTCTAAGACACAGTGTGTGCATGACAGGTGGAACCAAGTATTAATAGTATAGTATGTAACTATTATATGAATGAGCTATTAGATTAGCTATAAATGAATCGGAGCTAGTCGTTGGCTATACTATTGAACTTGCTCTAAACAACCACAACTGTCAACAGCACGGCATGATGGCACTGCTACAGCATCATGAGACAGGTTGATGCAGACGATCACGTACCGCCCCGAAAGCAGGGCCCCATCGCCATCCCCGCAGGCGAACGTACCGGCCCGGGGACCAGACCATGCACCCCCGCGCGCGCGTAATAATGCGATGAAAACTGGAAAGGCGCGGACACCGGGACGACAGGGCCAGGCTTGCATGCCACAGCCAAAGCCCACCGGTGAGTGAGTGACAGCCGCAGCCGCAGCCGCGCGCGCCGCGGAAGCTGGCGGGCGGCGCGCCCCCCACAAACCCTCGCGCGACAACGCAGCATCGCCAACGCCAATGCCTGCCCACGGGCCACGGCCACCACGGCGGAACCCGAACGGATCGATCGTAACAGCAGCAACCGCGCCCGCCCGCTCGGCCGCGCGGTGATCATCCCGAATCATTGGCGCGGGTGGTCCACCGCGTGGGCGTGGGACGACACGCGGTTCGCTTGCATGTTTTAGAGCATGTATAATAGTGAGCTATAAATCTACTGTAAATTTAGATGAAGGAGAGATAGTAAAAAATTAAAAGTGTGGGCTCTCATGCAAGAGTTAGCTTATCACAAGCTCCAAGACAAATACATTAAATGTATAAATGAGAGATAGAGAGAAGAGAAGAAAAATATAGCCGACCTTATAGCTAATCTATGATATATGTTGGCTTTAAAATAAGCTAATAGTAGAAAATGAGCTATACTATCCTTGCTCTTAGATAACGAAGCGCCGCGCGCCGCTCGTATGCGCCTGGCTCGGCACCTACGCGCGGGGGTTGGTGGGTTGTTGGCTGGGTGCGGCAGTTTGTCTTTGGGACTTCTTTCGGCACGAACCGTGTGTAGCGAGGAGAGGAACAGTTCGGATCGACGTGTGTTTTGTGTCGAGCGCTGAGTGCCTTTTTGAACGAGAAACCGAAGGGGTGTCAGATGCTTCTCTAGCCGCTCGGTCCATCTAGCTTTGCTAGCGTTGAGTATTACTGGTTTGGGATCCTCTTATTTACTCGAGTCACTGATATATAAGATACACTACAGTTTTTTTTTTAGTTTTTAGTTTTATTTGGAGAATGCACGTGTCGCCTCGCTCTAGGGCGACACGGGCGGCGACACACCCCACTGTCAGCCCCCCTCCCTCGCCGCCGCCCGAGCAGCCGCCGGCAAAGCCGGGCGGTGGCAAGGACAGCGGCGGCGGGGCCTTCTTCTCCCTCGCACCTCTACCCGGCGGATGGAGCTTCGACGGAGAATGGATGGAGGGACGGAGACAGTGGTCTTCAGTGCCGCCGGCGGCTGGAGGCGATTGATCCGATGCCGATGGAGGTAGATATGGCCCCCTCGTGGCTAGGTCAGGAGGGAGCGGCACCGGCCGCGCCGCATCGAAGGCCGGCGGATGAGGTCAAGCTGTCGGTGGAGGAGGCCGTGGCGCCGGCGGAGGTGGTTGCGGCACAGACGGAAGAGGCGAACGAGGTGGCGGTGGTGAGTGGTGGTGGAGGCGGTGGAGTCCAGGGTAGAATGGCTAGATCTGGGAGGCTGCGGCAGACGGCGGGGTTTGTGTGGTGGTGGCGGCGGCGGCTGGCGATGCTGGTGGCGGTTCCGGCGATAGCCGGCACAGTGAGCCTGCTGGTCGCGGCATCGCCCTGACCTTCGAGTGTTGTCGCGTGGTCGACTAGCAGCAAGAGATGGAGGCGGGAAAGGAAGAGACTGGCAAGGCGTCGGCGACGACTGTGACTATGGACTGCGGCAGCGCGGCCGACGTAGTAGCGGCTGCGACGAAGAAGGAGAAGTGAGGGGATCCAATGGCAGCAGGATGGAAGGCGGCGGCAAGGATGGCGACGGCGGGCAGGACTTGGTCACGACGGAGGCGGATCCGGCCCCCTGGAGGACGGATCTTGTGTGGGGCGAGCTTGCGGCGGTGGCGGCGCTGCGGAGCTCGCAGCGACGGTGTCAGCGGCAACGACGCAGAGCTCATGGCGATGGTGGCGGCGGCGGCTGGACGGCGGTGAACAACACGGTGGCTGGTCGACGGCAACGGCGCTACCGGCTGTTGTGGCAACGGGGTGCGCTCGCGGTGGCGATGGTCGCAGCAGTGGCTGGACGGCGGCGAGGGGGCTGCGGCCAGTCAGCGGCGAGGTGGCCGTCGGCAGCAGCGGCTACGGTGGTAGTGACCGTGTGTACGGTCGGAAGAGGCATGGCGGTCTCGGACAGCTAGCCGGGGGCATGGCAGATGGCCGTACCTGAGCCAGCGCGGCAGTGATTGGAGGGGTCGGAGGCCGCCTTGGCACAGAGAGGTACATCCGATGGCAGTGGAGGCCGGCAAGGCGCGAGAGGCGCGGCCGGCGGCGAGGAAGCCGGACTGGCGCGAGAGGCGCAGCCGATGGCGAGAGGCCGGACTGGCGCGAGAGGTGCGTCCGGTGGTGGAGGAGGCCGGCACGGCGCGATGAGGCGCGGTAGGCGGTAAAGGAAGCGACCACGGTGCGAGGAGGAGCTGCCGGGGGGATGTGGCACGGTTTTCGGCGCACGAAGGCTGGTCGACCGGGGGGGCACCGGTGCAGTGGTCCCACATGTCAGCAGAGGTTGAGTAGTGGTGGAGCATTGGTGCGTCAGCCGTGGACCTGCAGGTGATGAGCGGCAGGTGAAAACCCAGCCCGGCCTTGGCCGTACCGACAAACTATGGTTCATTCCTCCTCCTGAGGGCGTTGTTGTGCCATCTCATCCCTCAAGGGTGTTTGCCGGGTGAAAGCCCAGTCTTGGCTCTTTTGTGTCCCTGAACGGACAGACGGCGGCGGTGGTTTTCCGTCGCTTCTCTCCTTGGAGACGTCGTTTAGGCATCCCCTTATCGAAACCACTCGAAAGATTGGTGCAAGCACACTTTAGCTAGAGTTGGGTTTTGTGTTGGTTGTAAGGACGTTTTTGGGCGTTCTCGTCTGTGTTCCTTTGTGGGCCTAGCGGCGCTCGGTCATGCTTAGCGGCGGCCGGTTCGGTACTAGTCTTCTCCCGGACCTGTGTATTGAGGCTGTCGGTGTGTGGGTGGTGGTATATTTTTTTTTCATTTTTCCTGGTTACGACCCTCTAGGGTTGTAATCTTGTATTTTTTTACTCTATCAACAAAACTTCGCATCGTCTCGTACGAATCGTTAAAAAAATATAGATACATGTGTCAGTGACCTACATTAAAAAAGAAAAGTAGGTAAGAGAATCCTCTTTCGAGTATTACCTTGTTAGTAGTAGTTTTAACTTACAATTTTTGTTAGTTAGGTTACAATGGAAAAAATTACTCTCTCTATTTCAAAATATATATACTTGTTTTGGACCCCGATAACGGTTTAGAACTAAGGTAGCTTGATATCAGGATAGAAGCAAGATTATGAGTACAAGATGGAAATAGGGATTTGTATACATATACTAGATCAAACATTTATATGTATAGCTGTGCAATGTGTCATAATGATTTACAGAAGGAGAACAAGCTAGCTATTCCAGCCTTCTAACTAGTTTTTTTTTTTTGTCGAAACTAATGCGGTGACTTGTAGTTGGCGGCTAACTTTGGGTTTCCTCCTAGCTGGTCTTCGATGTAGCCCGTGGTTGTGGCTTATTATTCCATGCCCTTCTCTTCTAACGGACTTTGTATTTATACATGTAGGTAACCCCTCATCCAGATAGAACTCGAGGACTCTAAGTAGACTACGGGCAGACAAAACCTTGTAGTATCCATATCGGAGTCTGGCATCTCATCTCAGCGGGAAAGGAATATCGACCTTATCTGTAGAATCTAACAAATTTGGATAGACCCTTTCGTATGATATTAAGTATATGGTATTTCCGGTGAACAAGTATAGGAGGTATACAGATTTGTAACACTGATAACTTTATAGGATGTTTAGCTAGGTCAAAATATTCCCTTTTGTTATTTCAGTGGTCAATTCTTAAATTGATCGTAATTTCTCCGTCCTAAAATGTAAGTATTTTTAAGATGGACACGGATATTTTAGAAGCATGAGTAGATAATTAGGACAAGGTTGTGTTTGGTTGACAAGAGAAAATAAGTAAATAAATTAATTGGAGAATTACTATAATTGGTTGAGAGGAGGTGGTAGATGAAAAAATAGCTTTATTTTGAAACAAGACACTATGCTAGCAACAATTTGTGACTGAAGTAGTATTTATATTCCAAACACCTGATTGGCTATGGAATAATTGAAATGATGGGAATCATCAAAATTATTGTAGAAATGCTTATATTGTTGTACAAAATTTGATTGTGAAAATCTTTTATATTTTGAAACAGACAAAAACAAAGAAAGTATTCCCTCCGTCCTAAAATATAATAAAATATAAGAATCTAGGATAGGATAGGATATTTCCTAATACTATGAATCTGTCTAGATTCGTAGTACTAGAAAACGTCTCATCCTGTCCCTAGGTTCTTATATTTTGGGACAAAAGGAGTATATGATATGTTTACGATGCCACAACTTCAGTAATTTATTGTTACAAATACGAGTGATCAAAATTTCAAATAACGTAAATTGCATTGTAGTATATGAAGTTATTAGGTGATGCAAATTACTACATAAATTGTAAAACACTCATTTTGGAGCACAAACTTAATTGGTGTGTGAACCTACCAGAAACATAACACGACTAATCTTATTTATTTAGGCTGTGTTTAAATCCAGGGGGTAAAGTTTTGGCGTATCACATCAGATATACGGACACACATTTGAAGTATTAAATGTAGTCTAATAACAAAATAAATTACAGAATCTGCCTGTAAATCGCGAGACGAATTTATTAAGCCTAATTAATCGTCATTAGTAAATATTTACTGTAGCACCACATTATCAAATCATGGCGCTTAGGCTTAAAAGATTCGTCTCGTAATTTACACGCAATCCGTCTAATTATATATATATATATATATATATATATATACACACTATGTATGTGTCTAAACATTCGATATGATAATGTGTAAAATTTTAGTAAACATAGCTACTTTTGATCACACGCTACTTTTGATCAGAATGCTACTTTTGTGTGAGAAGTAATTGTACAACAAATCACTAAAATATATACATATCCAGTACCCCATATGCAACGGGGACAAAGATTCCGGAGTATGTGAGAGTACATCACATCATGGCCGGCATAAGCATGCGTGTCGTGGTGCTGCACTGCTGGTGGACGTTACTGTGTGCGTGAACGACGCCGATGGCGGCCTCCATGCGGACCATGCTGTAGCTGCATCGATGCCCTGGCTGGCTGGCTGGCTGGCGTGGTGTGGTGTGGTGCGATGTGAATGACGGTACCACTGCTACCGGCCGTCTCATCACTTCATCCGCTAGCTAGCATGCTTGCTGCATGCACAGGACGGTTTGGTGTTAGCACGCATGTTATGTCTCGACACACATTATTGGTCCGGCCGGCGCCCATGGCGTAGCTGTTCTTTCATCACACGCTGACACACACCTCCGAGCCAATGACTAGCAACATGAGGGGGACTATGCCGGGTTGGCAACAGAGCGACACATAAACCACGCACAGGATTCATTGGGGATCGATGTGACGGATCTGTTCCGCGAGTATAATCCGGGATCGGGAATGTACGTGTACGTCTGCGCGCGGCCAGCTCATCATACAGATACGCCGCGTCCTTGTCATCAAGGAGGAAAATACACGTCCCGATAACACGTTCCCGACACAGACGGCTAGGTAAGCATGTTGGTAGTAGTATCTGTTAAAACCAGGGGCAATAATATGACAATTCTCCGGCCATCTGAGGCACCGAGCTGTACAGCACAGACGCTTCTCACAAGTATACGAGGTTAAGGCCATTCCCAACCTAATAACTAGAATAATGTCCATAGCATTAAATAAGTTGTCATCTAGAATAAAAAAATGATGTAGCAAGTGAATAAATGAGGAAAGAGAAGGAAACCATGTCTTGCATGAGACTTGGTTTCTACACAATATCCAAGACATCATGTGAGATAAGTAGCATTAAATTTAAACATGGAATAGTGGTGTTTGCATTGGAAGAGTAGTGTCTATTAGTAGTTTCTTGATGATGTGGAGTTTATAGAAATTATTTCTAGTGTCTTGGGTTGGAAATGGCCTAAGAGCTCGAGTCCTTGCCTCCCTCAGAGAAAAAAAAGGCAACATTTGTATTATCACTAGTTTTTTCAATTTTGTAAGGATATCATTTCAATGATAGTTTTAGTGATATTTTTTAAATTTCTAATGATAGTCTTGTACCTTTTGCTTTGTTAAGTTTAATCAAGTTTATAAAAAAAAATTAGCAACATTTATAATATTAAATTAGTTTTTATTAAATCTAACATTAAATATATTTTGATAATATGCTTGTTTTATGTTAAGAATATTACTATATTTTTCTATAAATTTGATCAAACATACAAAATTTCGAACATAAAAAAGTCAAATGATTTATAATATGAAATGGAGGGAGTAATAACGATTTTAAACTTGTAATTACTCCAAAGGGGAACTAGTACTAGTACTACTCCCTCCGTCTCAATATGTAACAAGTTTTGGCATTCAAAATTTGTTAAAAATGTTGCAACCTAGTACAACTTTTACCACAAATCTACCAGTTCTACGCCTTATCAGTGAAAGAGAAGAAAAGAATAGAGTACTAGTTTGTATTGCCGTCTGTGCTTTTGCCGCCTACCAGTTTAAATTTTGATTTGCGTGTGAGTGGGTTTTTACTGTGTTTACCCAGCTTTCTGGCGGGTAGTATCGTCTTTTTGCTACTTTCCTTAATACTTGTGCACAAGCTTAAAACTTGTTATATATTGGGATAGAGGGAGCAGTAACTATTAAGGCCCTCTTTGAATTGGAGGAAAAAAATGGAGAAAAACAAATAAATTGAAATCCTACGCTATTCATGCCTTTGATTCGTAGGAATGAGAAAAGGAAAATGTAGGAAACTTTCCTATTCTTACGATTCTGGAGGAAAAATGAAGAAAATTTAACATCCACTCTAAGCTATTTACTGAGTCTATCCCTTTCATAGATTCCTGCGGTTCAATCAAACAGGCATTTCTGTGTTTTTCTTATGTTTTCCTTTTATAATTATGTGTTTTTTTATATTCCTCCGTTTTTTTAATCCTACGATTTAAAAGGCCCTAATAGTATCGAGTATTTAAGCTCAAGATCACTTCCACTGTTTGGTCTTCACCTCCTGGACGATCATAGTATAGGCGCGCCCAAGTTCTTTCATAGCCTCTGGTTGAGCGATCTGAATGAAAATGTAAAAATTCCCTTGTTAACTACACACACATCACGCATGAACTCGCAAAGCGGCCGGAACTGCAACGCCATGGGCCATGGCACGGTGTGACGTTGTCATGGACTCACGGTGCCTCATGGGCCTAGCGCTGGGCCTTTATTAATGGGCTTGAACTTCCTTCAACTATTTTGCTGATACGGGTACGGGCATTGCATTTGCACCGTTCTGTCCAGTGCGTTCTCTCTTGCTGTGCACGAAAGAAATTCCATTTCCTAGATTTTCTTTAATAATGCGTCCATTTTGCCTTGTAAACATTACACGGTTCAGCGTGAGAAGAAGGCGTGGATCGGGTGAATAATAAGGAAATAAATTCTTTTAATAGGTTTTCTAAGTACAACAGTGGAATCTGTAACTGTAATATAAACATATCCTGCCTGCCGCTAGAACTGGGACGTACGAAGCTGCATCACCGTGCTTCTGAGTTTTCTGACGAACACTAAAAACAGATGGGGCACCTCAGCCTTTTGCCGAGCTATAGCTAGCTAGCGTGTTGCATAGCGCGGCAGGGGATCCATCGATCGAGGTGTTCGTCGCGAATTTAAATCTTTGCGTGCATGTCTCAGCACCCAACGCACCGCGGCGCACCCCTCTCTCAACTAATTCTTGAACTGCAACGGCTGTAGAGAAATTTTCGCCACCCTGAAGTGTAGGCGATCATGTTGACATGCTCATCAGAGACACCGTCGCGATCAGGACGCCGGCGAGCGCCACCGCCGCCCTGCCGCTGGCCATCGTCGCCGGTGCGGCGCCGACGTCGCCGTAATCAGGAGGGGAGTTTGACCCGAAGCCGCCGGGAGGGGACATTGAGCCGTAGTCAGGAGGGGTCGTGGATCCACCGTAGATCGGCGTCCCGGTGTCCGGCGTGGTCGGTGTTGGTGTCATCGGGGTGGTCGGCGTCATCGGGGTTGGCGGCGGCAGGGTGGTCGGGGACGGCGGGGGCAGCATGTTCTGACCACCACCGCTGCCGTTGCAAAACAAAAAAAAGTTCAGTCGTTGTTGCAAAAAGAAAAAAAGAAAAAAAAGAACACATATTTTCTTTCAAAATTTGTTTGAATTGGCACGAAATCGAAATCTTACCTCGAGGCTGAATACTGGCACGACCCTGAACCTGCATGGGTGAAAGACGAGCAGACTCGTCAGGAAGTTGTGACCACATGGATTCAAGTGTTGCTGAGTCGGGACGCTGATGAGCTTACTCGGATCGGTGTTGGTGATGGTGGCCGTGCCGCCGAAGTCGCAGCTGGTGGCGACGGGGTTCTTCTGGTAGTAGCTGTTGAAGGCGTAGGAGGCGTGGTCGTGGACGGTGTCCGGGTTGAAGCAGCTCCCGCCGGGCTGGATCGCCGAGCAGTCCGCGCCGTAGCCGCAGGCGTAGTCCAGCGCGACCTGCAGCGCCGTCGGGCTCGCGCTCTGGCTCGCCACGCACCACGATCCTCCACCGCCGCCACCGCCGCCGCCGCCTGCGGTCGCCAGGGATGGGAACGCGGAGGGCGAGCTGCTCATCGGCATCGTGCTCGGGGAGGTGGAGGCGGACATGGGCGTGGTCACCGTGGGGTACGACGGCTTCGCCACGGAGACGGTGGCCAGGCCCCTGCGCGCGCTCGCGCCACGGGCTGACGCATCACCGGCTGCTTCTGCTCCGTGGTGCTCTGCTCCTGTCGCGATCAAGCGAAATTGGTAAGGTTGGAAAAAAAAACCATATATGTATGGGATGCTTTTACATGTCAAGCCACAAATTTTCATGTGAAAGAAATCCACGCAAAACATTCCTGTTTATCATTTTGTTCAAATACCAAGACATACTAAAATTATTCCATAGAAGATGTTTTCATACTAGAAGTACACCACCGACAAGAACAAATATAAATGGTGCAGCTAACATCAACATCAAATTCAATCATATTCCTATACGGAGCATCGACCTACGCTCGTAGAGTACAAAACGAAGATTGAACAATCAAACAAATATTCCAACAACTCACCACCGCAGAAGGCGAGAAGAAGAACAAGGAGGCCCAAGTAAGCCATGCCGATATCTATTCCAAACAAGGCAGCAGAACGGCCTGACGATCTGACCTGAGCTGACGGCGAAGTGTAAAGTAGGGCCTTGCTTTCCCTGCGGCGATGGCGTATATATACATGACGCGGGAACAGCCGAATCACAGGTTCCTTGGGCAACAGGGAGAGAGAGAGAGGGAATAAGAGGAAACTTGGGGAGGGGAGTCCGGGAGCTTTGCAGGAGCACGCAATGAAAAAAATGGCAAAGAAATCCGCCGGGGGAAAGTAAAAGAAGGCTTTGGTCGATCGATCAAGGTGGAGGGAGATCTAGCCGGGGAGGAAAAGCAAACGCAGCTTGGGCGAGAGGAGGGCCGGAGGAGGAGTAGTAGTACTTTGGAGGTGAAAGAATTCTTCATGTCGGCCGCGTTCGTCGACTCGAGCGCAAACCGGAGCCCATCATGATGGCGATGGCCGCATCGGGATCGCAGCGAATATTTGGCTTTGCCGGTTTTTATATGCGTAGGCGGTGTACGAGGTTCAGATAAATATGCGGTGAACGGGTTTCGATCAGAGCGTAGTTCAGGAAATGGTTGGTGTTTTGCCGTTTTCATAGTTGGTCTTTGTATTTCTTTTTTGTGGTTCTCAAATCGTGGCTTTGGCTTAGGATCCACACCTTAATGATGGAATGATGATTATATTCGAGGCGGTTAATAATTTCTTGAGCAAAAGGTAATTATATAATGTAGGGCTAGAGACCATTGTTTTTGTAGGAGTATCAGCTTAATATGAGCTTTCATATTGTTAAATTTCATTGGTCCTGTTAAGTTGGCGCTTTTGTGGACTGCCATCATTTTTTTTCTCCAAAGATACGAGTAACAGGGTTAAAAACCGATTACATGGCCTTTTTCTTTCGAGATGTTAACCAATCACCTCTTGCACAACAGAAAAGGCAGATAGGGTTGAGGTAAACCGACAAAGTTGTAGAATTTAGTAAACAAAGATATCAAAGTTAACATCCAATTAATAAAAAACTTTGACATACAAAACAAATATAGCGTAAAGTTGAGAGAAAATTAATCATATGCTAGTTAAAAAAAGAGAGGGGAGAGATAGGGAGTGGATTCTAATCCCTCGAGAGGGGCCCCTCGTATATCTTTTTCTTCCAAATTCGATACAAATAGTTGTGAAAAATTCTGAAAAAAAATTGACAATGTAGAGTATAATGATACCTACTAGTCCACCAAAATTCATGTTCAAATTCGATCTACACATCGAGAAACAAAAAAGACAAATTTAGATATAAACAGTACGCTACTATTCATACGCTGAATTTGTCTTTTTTATATCTCGACGTGTGAGTTGAGTTTGGACTTAAGATTTTATGAAGTTGTATATATGTGTTGTATGAATGTTGTCAAATTTTTCCAAAATTTTTTAGAACCGTTTAGATGGTTTTTGAGCAAACGAGGGAACATCCCCTGGAGGGATTAGAATAGTTTCCTGGGAGAGATAGGCATGTGTGTCTCTCACGTAAAACAAGCCTTGACTGGTCTTCCTCACTTCAAGAAGATCGTTTTTTTTTTGGTTGCTAAGATCTACAATATGTTACTAATATTTTGCATTTTAAGTATCTTTCGTCAGTGATTCCATTATCTATTTGTGTACATGCAAATGGCCCGATTTTTTTTAAAGACTTCAGGATAATTCTTTTTATGTTTTTAAGTTGAAATTGCATGATCAGAATTCAGAACGGTGTTGTTGGCAGAGCCAGACAACCTGGGCAGTGGGCAGTGATGGCGATGGTGAGGCGGAGAACTTCAACTTTCCACACGATGCGATGCTTTTACTGTAACCATGGAACTTCAACTATACACAAGTAAAAAGTTTGTCACCTGGGGGAAGAGGCTCCTCTCAGTTTTCACTTCTCGGTTATCTCTGCAAGATGCTGTTTTGGTTCCCTTTTTGCCTTTTCGCTGTTCCCGCACAGCCGCAGTCTGCACAAATCATGGCTAAAGCGCTGAGATTAAGCTTTCTGTTTGTCGAGCCTATGCACTTGGGCTGTGTGCCAGTGAACAGAAAGAGATCGAGCTACTCCAGTAGACAGTTGTTAGCTTCACTGTTTCAGTGCTCGGCTTAGTGAAGACCATGGTGGACAAGGCATCTAGCCAAGGAGTACAATCTATCTACACTTCGTCAGTTTGGAATGTTTCTTTCTGGGCTTTAGGGGTGATTGAATTGATGCATGGAAAGCGATGGTATGGCACATATTGGTTTGGTTTCTAATAGACGTAAGATAGATTCAATTCGAACTAACATGGTGGCCCGCGCAGATTGCGCGGCTAGCATCATTATATTTTCTCTCATATAAAAGCATATATCTTTTCTCATTATATTATTATAAAATATATTACAATGACAACATAATTTTAAATTTTGCAATAACTTTTCAAAACTACTAATGTGTAATAACTACTCTAGTCTCCTCTTCTAATATTTCTTATTTTTTAATTCTGAATTTCAGCTATTTCTAAATTGTATTTCTATATGTACTCTGCCTTTTCTTTTTCTCTGATTAATGTGAGAATTTCTAGGCCATGAGAGCGAACGTGGAGGCTCCTTTTTATTCCGAATTTTAGTTGGTTTTAAATTCCAATATGAACTCTATACTCTACTTCTAATATTCCTTATTTTTTAATTTCAAATTTCTATTTTTTACTTAATTGTATTTCTATATGGACTCTATACTCTACTTCTAATATTTCTTATTTTTAATTCCGAATTTCAGTTATTTCCTAATTGTATTTCTATATGGACTCTATACTCTACTTTTAATATTCCTTATTTTTAATTCCGAATTTCAGTTATTTCCTAATTGTATTTCTATATGGACTCTAGTCTCCTCTTCTAATATTCCTTATTTTTTAATTCCGAATTTCAGCTATTTCTAAATTGTATTTCTATATGGACTATAGTCTCCTCTTCTAATATTCCTTATTTTTTAATTCCGAATTTTAGCTATTTCTAAATTGTATTTCTATATGGACTCTGCTTTTTCTTTTTCTCTGATTAATGTCATCAGAGCAAACGTGGAGGATTCTTTTTTTTTCCAAATTTTAGTTAGTTTTAAATTCCTATATGGACTCTATACTCTACTTCTAATATTTCTTATTTTTTAATTTCGAATTTCTATTTTTTTTCTTAATTATATTTCTATATGGACTCTATAATCTACTTCTAATATTCTTTATTTTTAATTCAGAATTTCTATTATTTCCTAATTATATTTCTATATGGACTCTATACTCTACTTCTAATATTCCTTATTTTTAATTCCGAATTTCTATTATTTCCTAATTGTATTTCTATATGGACTCTATACTCCTCTTCTAATATTTCTTATTTTTTAATTCCGAATTTCAACTATTTCTAAAGTGTATTTCTATATGGACTCTAGTCTCCTCTTTTAATATTACTTATTTTTTTAATTCTGAATTTTAGCTATTTCTAAATTGTATTTCTATATGGACTCTGTTTTTTCTTTTTCTCCGATTAATGTGAGAATTTCTAGACCATGAGAGCGAACGTGGAGGCTCCTTTTTCTATTTCTTTAATTATAGAGATAATCCATTGTATACCACTGAGTTTGTCATAGGTCTACAATTTGCCACTGACTTTGTCACGTTCTATAATATGCCATCGATTTTTGCTTAACTTCTACGATTTACCACCGCCATCCGGTTAGTCTCCGTTAGTACTGTACACTTTCATCCAAATGACCAAAATACCCCTGAGACAAAAACTTTCAAATTTTGGATAAAAATTCTGAAATGTCAGACTTTAAGTTTTTGGACAAATTTTGAATGTTTACAATCTTATGTTTATAATATGGTATTTCGGAATTTTTGTCCACATTTTGGAAGTTTTATCCCAGGGGTATTTTGGTCATTTGGACAAAATTGTACAGTACTAACGGAGACTAACTGGACGGCGATGGTAAATCATAGAAGTTAAGTAAAAGTCGATGGTATATTATAGAACGTGACAAAGTCAGTGGCAAATCGTAGAGCTATGACAAACTCAGTGGCATATAATGGATTGTCTCTTAATTATATAATAGATTTGGACTGTCAAGTTTTCAGATCCACATCAAAGGCCTCTTATAGTACGGAAGTGTTTTGAAGGCCCAGAATGTTTTGAGAGTTTTTGGGCCCAGATCTAGCCCAACCAGTGGCCCACACGAAACATGATTACCAGGAAGGTTAAGGGCTTTCGGATTGGTATTATTTTAAACCATGGTAAAATCGATAAATATATGACTACATTTAGTTTGTTACCAATATTAATAATGCATATGAAATTTTGGCAACAACACATATACTTATTCTACCAAAACCTGACATGTTCAAATCACTACCATGGTCAAAAATTTTAGCAAGTTAGCCTCATGGTCTAAGTGGGCATTTTGTAGTTTATATGTACTTCTATATTTTTTTTTTCTATACACAGAGATAGTACGAGATTGCTCATTCGCGCATACGTGCGACATCAGCAGGTCGCGCGTGTTTTGCATTTCGTCTGCGATTTTGCTATATCTCACTCGAAAGATTTTTTCTTATCTCTCACTCGATTTTCTCACTCAAATTTACAGTGCATTTTCTTGTAAATTACAGTGTAATTTATGAAACTTACATTGTAACTTTTGTAAGTTACACTGTAATTTTTGAATCTTCGCATGTAAATTTTAAATTTTGTATTGGATTTGGTCTTTTTCTTGAGGATATGGTAATTTAGTGTCCATTATGGTGTTTCTTAATTGCTTTTTGCTTTTTATTATATCTATCGGATTTTAATCTAAAGATTAAAAATATGTATGATACAATCGTAAAAATCTTTCGAAAGATGTATAGGTACTCCCTTTCGTCTGCAGCGTCTCCACTTCGTGCGTGTTCTGGGCCTGCAGACGTGGACTCCCATGCATATATATGCAAGCAAAAGACAAACTTAATTAGTACTTCCTAATCCAAACTAGTATAATTTGACAAAGCATGCACGTATAGCGTATTTTGTAAATTTTCTACGATTAGTACTTCCTAATCCAAACTAGTATAATTTTGAAAGTTTAATTAAACTTTTTAATAGAAGGTTTAATTTTAAATTTGAATTTTTTGAGTAAACTTCAATTCAAATTTTAAAACTTTCAACTTAAATTTTGAAAACTTTCAACTCAAATATTGAAACTTTCAACTCAGATTTGAAAGCTGTAAACTCAAATTTTAAAACTTTCACCTCAAAGTTTAAAAATTTTCAAATGAAAAATTGAAAACTTTCAACTCGAATTTTGAAAACTTTCGACTAAAAAATAAACTAGAATTTAAAAAGCTTTCGACTCAAAAATTTCAACTCAAATTTTAAAAACTTTCAACTCATATTTCAAATACAAATTTAAAATTTTTAACTAAATTA